CTCGCACCCTCCCCCCGCCCCTGCTCCCTCACCCCCCAAACAGCTGGAGCTGCTCAAGATGGACCCCACCTTCTTGAACCGCAACGTCAACCAGGGCTTCTCGGGCGGCGAGAAGAAGCGCAACGAGATCCTGCAGCTCGCCGTCCTCGAGGTGCGCACGCGGCGCGTGGCATGCATGCCTGCACGTGGCGCGAATGCGCGCGCTCATTGCGCAGGCGTGCGACAAATACCCCACCCCTCAATTTTGTAGCAGCAACTGCTGTGCACACACACGCACGCATGCACACACACACACGCACACACATACATACATACAAACGCATTCTTTGTTACTCTTACACGCGATCAGTCTGAGATGTCCATTCTGGATGAGATTGACAGCGGCCTGGACATTGATGCGCTGAGGGACGTGGCGGGTGCGGTCAACGGCCTCAAGCGGGAGGACACGGCCGTGCTGATGGTCACGCACTACAAGGTGTGTGTGTGTGTGTTTTGGGGGGAGGAGGGGGGCGTGTGTGGCTGCAGCAGTGTGTGTATGTGTGTGTGTGTGTGTGTGTGTGTGTGTGTGTGTGCGCGCGCGCTTGTGTGTTGGGGATAGAGGCCTGTGACCCCGTCACACGGTCAGGTTATGCTTCAGGAGCATCCAGGTGGTCATTGTCTGAGGGGTCAGCGCAGGGGCAGCGACGAAGCGTGTAGGGGAAGGGATGCAAGGCGGCCGCTGTGTGCATTGCAAACTTGCGTGCTTGCTTGCACGCGCCCATGGGGGCATGCTGGCGCTTGTTACACACACACGCACACGCGCACACGCACACACACGCACGCATACGCGCACATACACATACATACACACGCGCACACGCACGCACGCACACACACACACACGCGCGCGCGCGCGCACACGCACACGCACACGCACACACAAACACACAACCACACAGCGCCTGCTGGACTACATCCGCCCCGAGTACGTGCACATTATGGAGGCGGGCCGCATCACCCAGACGGGCGGCATGGACCTGGTGGACCAGCTGGAGGCGGGCGGCTACGCGACACTCACCGCCTCGGCGTGATGACGCATGGTGATGTCACCCACGGCGCAGCGCGCACCGACCCTGGCCCGCAGGGGGTTCAAAATGCAGGCGTCCCGTGCCCTTGGGAGAATTGCCCCCTGGCTGGGTCCCCTAGCCTCCATGCGGCGTGCCAGTTGTGGGACGCCCTTGTTCATGCCGTGCTGCGCGCCGGCAGGCAGCGGCGGCGGTCTGCGCTGCTGCTGGACAAGTGTTGGGCTCCTGAGCTGGTGTCGTTGCGCCTCTGTGTTTCGTTTTGAGGTAGTTGTAGTGGTGGTGCTGCGCTGACGCCCGCATTGACCCCAACTGGATCAAGCCAGGATTGCTGTGCAACGCGCGCTGCAATGCCGACGCCCGCTGCAGGGCGCGCGTCGCCTGCAAGGCGCAAGTCGCCTGCCCCAGCAGCGGTAAAGTCATTAGTAAGACTTGAAAGTCTTGTTCAACTCCGTCCGGCCACGTTTCATGCTGTAAATAGCCTGCTGACTTTGGGCCCCACCTGACCCAAGCGCACTGGTGCCTGTTGCCCCCTGCCGGTAAGACAAGCGGCGGCGGCTGAGGCCATTCACATCTGTAGCAGCCCTAAAACTTTTAATCTTCAGCCGCACAACGGTGGCGGCAAACAGGGCAGAGGTTACGTGGAGCGGGGGCAGACAGGAGGGACAAGTCTGCACAGGGGCAAGTGTGGAGGAGTTCAGCCGGGAGTGGCAAAGTGGGGGTGAGCAGGAGAGGAAAGCAGGACGCAAAACAAGAGCAGCGGAGGGAGGTTTGGCGTTCACCAACCCTGTTGTAAGGACCAGAGGCCGCGAGCGAAGGCGCGGCGTTCGGGCAGCGCAGTGCTGGCTCTGCTGCAGCAGAAGAGACTCCCACAGGCTGTCAAGTGCCAGACGCCCAGCGGAAAGGGCACAGGCGGCGCCTTGAAAGCCTGGGGCAACCTGTGGGGAAAGAAACCCACATAAACAAACAGCAAGATACAGCAGTGCCCAACCCTATGACAGCGCCTGGACAACCCCGCCCTGGCGCAGCGGCTGCAAGTGCAACGATCGTCTTCGAGTGCCCTTTTCGAGTGCCTGAGAAGACAGCGCTGCTGCCAGCCAAAAATGATAAGAAAGAATTGACGGCGCACATCCCGAGCGGCAGGCACCTAACTACTGGACTGCCCGGCTCAAAAACCTCCCCAAACCTCCAATGAATGGATGAAATTAGCCGGAGGAAAGCCGGCCACCAGTGATGACTCTGTGTGTGTGCGGGGCGGCCGTTGCCCGTGGAGGGATACAGACGGTGGTGCGCGCCCCTCCGCGGGCCACGGAGGGCCATCGGGCGCAGTCGGCTGTAATGTGTAGAGCGACTTTTGTCCCTGGGGTCTTGCACGAGCGACGAGGAAGGACGGCGACAGACGCGCAGGACGGCGCGGCCTCAACGGCGCGCGCCTTGTCGACGGGAGTAATGAATTTGATGAGTAAGCATTATGAAAGGGCGAGGACGTGCGCGCAGGATGCCGCGGGCGCCGCATCGGGCAGCGCCGCTCGTCCCTGCTGTTGGCGTGCCCCGCCCTCACACCGCCGTGCGGCCGCTGCCGCCGCCAGCGCCGGCACCGCCGCCAGACGCGCCGCTCGCGCGCGCGCTGCCGCCGCCAGACATCCCGCTTGTGCTGGCGGGCCCGCTGCCGCTGGCGAAGGCCAGGGACTCCTGGAGCCCCGTTACCACCACCGTGCCGTCCGCCGCGACCATCACCGTCGCGCCGCCGCCGCCGCCGGCAGCAAACGGCGACGCCGCCGGCCCCGGCGG